AAAAGCAGCTGAATGGGCCGGCAGACACCCATCGCGGGACACCGCGTCGGCCACGTTGGCTTTAGATGGGACCCGCCGGAAGTCGACCATGATATCCTTCTTCGCCGCCATGGCCCAGAATGTCGCCAGCATCGCGTTCATCGCCGGGTCTTTTCCATAGCCCTTGGACAGCGCCGCCTGGCCGGCCGTATTGTCAATGAAGGCGGTGACCGCGCCGGGGAGGTATGCCGAAAACGCCGCAAGGGCCACCAACTGGGCGAATACCTCCAGCATGTAGATGAACGCCCGTCGCGCCGCGAACTTCTGCAGAAACCAGGTCGGCACGACGCCGTGGTCGTAGAAGACAGAGCCGCCGAGTCGGAGGACAAACCCCCATCCGTTGTTGGCTCTATTGGCTCCGCAGGTGTCCGCCGAAGTCGGGACATGGCCGGCTTTGTGTCGCCGCTCTCCGTCCAGGAAGAAGGCGTCTGCGTAGAGCACCGCCGTGTCCATGTCGTCGGGGAAGAATGGGATGAAGCGTGGCTTCACCGTCGGGGATGTGCTCCAAGGCCACCAGCGCCGACCGTAGCCCCAGGGAGAGCTTGTCGTCGGAGTGTGCCGAGGTGTCCGCCGCGCGGGCGTACACCGCCTTGGTAGGGGCCTTGCCCACCCCGCCGAAGACCGCCTGGGTCAGGAAGGAGAGTCTTCCGGCCAGCTTCTGCGCCTCGTCGGGCTTCATGGCGTCGGTGTCCAGAGCCCGCCGAATCTGATCCAGGATGCGGCGTACCCTTTGTGGCGTCGGGCTGACCGTGATGCCGCGCCGGGACAGCTCGAAGGTGACGCCCTGACCACGTGCTTCGGCACCGCCGGCTGGGACTTGGAAGCCTTTATGCGGAAACCAAGTGCCGCGAAGAGCTCCTCGAAGGATCTGCCCGCCGACTCGCCGAGCTCCTCAAACTCCAGGCCGTTAAAGTCGTCGACACAGTGCCCCGCCGTGAGGAGAAGGAGACCACGCAGGAGCTGCTGCAAAGCATCGCCGCCCCTGTTAAAATTCCACACTGAGGCAGCGGCGCCGAAGTTCATCGCCAGATGAAACCAGAAAGTCATCCCCGCCGATGTAGCCACGAATGTGCCGCAATGCGCCGGGTGCTTGACCGGCCATTTGCGGTAGGCCTTCAGGAGATCATGCCCAAACACCAGGATGACGCCGTCTGGTGCCATGCGCCGCGCCAGGTCGACGAAGGCGCCTATGAAGTGATGGGTCGGCACATCGTCCGCCGCGATGGTGGTGTTGTGTCCGGAGCGCCGCCAATCCTCGCCGCGGCGAATCTTGGGCTCGCCGTTCTCATCGATCTGGATGATGGCGAAAGACGCCGCGAGGAAGGCCTCGCCGGGTGGCGGTTCCACCAGCTCTGTGGCGCCGAGGGCCCATGGCAGCGCTGTAGCCTCGAGCCACGTCGGCGGTCTGGTGGGCCCAATGACCCGCCCCAGCTTCACCTCGTCGACGAGCTCCTTCAGCAGGGTCTCGGTGTGCTCGTTGGTGCTCGCCGTGGCCACCTTGCGCCGCACATAGTCGGCATTAACCTGCCTAAGGGTGTCGAAGGACGCCGGGTACTTGTAGCGGTCGTCGGTCCTTTTTCGCCACCCTGGTCCCGGGCGCAGTGCGCCGATCATGTCGAAGCCGTCGGTCAGGTCCGCCGTGAGGTTCGGGAGGTCCGGGTAGTTCAAGCGCCGTAAGAGCTCCAGCAAGACCGGTATCTGTGTAACCGCCGGTTTGTCCGGGGTGGAGTAGGTTGACCTGACTGCGTGCGTCCTCGCCGCCATCCAGGCCGCCGTCTCCTCGGCTTTGTCTTCGATGAGAAGCTTCACCTCGTCGACAACCTCGCGCCGGATCCTTGCCAGGTCGTGTCTCCACCTGCGCCGGATGTCCCATGCCGGCTCAATGGCAGGCGTGGCGCGCATGCGGGATGGTCGCCGATCAATGCCAGTGCTGGTCTTCGTCGAGGTGCTCCATGGCGTCGGGGCCGTCGTGCTGGGCCGGTGCCGGCCCCATGACCGGGCCGCCGTGTCTCCATAGTGATGCCACAGTGCGTGGTGGGCCCGCCGGCGCCGCCTGTGACTGAGTCCAGCTGGTGGCCACCACCAGTATGAGCAGCAGGCGCCGAGCCACACCCCAGTGCCAGCCATTGCCAATAAGGCGGTGGCGGGCTCGGTCGTCGATCTCTGCCGCGCCGGCCCATCTGGTGAAGTCCGCCAGGATGTGGTGGAGCTGCTCCTTGGCCTTCGGCGCCGGTATGGAGAGCTTGCCGTCGGGCCCGACCGCCATCGCCTCTCGGACGTAGTGTCAGGGGGCGAACTGGCGCCGGTCTGCCAGCCACCTTTGCTGAGCGTCGGCTGGTATCTTCCCACCACACCCTCTGGGCGCCGCTCTGCCGTTCTCGTCGTCGCCTCCCTGACAGCACTGAGTCGTCGAAGGTGAAGCCGTCCATGTCCAATGTGTGCGCCGCTCGCCGGGCCTCCTCGACTCTAAGTCGGTCCCAGGGGCCCTTCCGGGACCACTGGAGGGGGTCGCCGGTCTCGGGGTCCAAGCGCATCTGGTTCCAATTCGCCGACAGCCACCAAAGGCGTGGCCGGCCAATCCAGCCGAAGTCGGCGGCGTCGACCAGGATCGGTTGGGCGCCGAGGGCAGAGGAGATCTGCTTGGCGTCCGCCGTCGACATCTCGACGTTCTCGAAGATGAAGCCGAAACGCCGAGGTGCGACCAATCGTCTGATCTCCAACATGAACTCCACCGCCGAGAGGAAGAGGCTGCCCCGGTCGCCGTCGTGGGCCACCCTTGAGAAGTCCTGGCAGGGCGGCGCCACGCAGAACAGCACCATGCACGCACCGCTGGGTCGACCCGGCTGACCTGTGCTGCCACGTCGTCGGGGCTGTTCTGGGCAACGTCGCCGCGGTTCTGGAGCCCTCGGCCACAGCCAGCGCCGTCTTGTCCGTCTCCCAGGTGAAGATGGCCGCGGGCTCGCCGACCAAGTCCCAGAGCAGCCAGGGGGCCGTCCCTATAGCGTCGGCGCTTCCAGTCGCCGCCGCCTTGGCCCGGCTGTTTCCAGGCGTCGGCGCCCTGCTCGTCCCAGTGTTGGCGCTTGCTTCCGCCGGTCCACTGGTTCCACTGCTGGCCGCCGCCGCGGTTGCCTTGGTTGCCCCAGTCCCCGGCTTCGTCGCCGCCCCTGGCCTGAAACTGCTGCTGCTGTTGCGGCTGGCCGCCGCGGCCCGGCCCTTTCTGGTGCCTCTCGGGGGCCCTGGGCCGCCGTGGCCTCCAACGGCGCCCTTTCCCTTTGACGGGCTGGTTTTCTGGGTCCGCAGGTGCGGGGCGGTCGCGGTGGCGCCGGGCGTGGGCTGCTGCTTCTCGGTGGCCGTCGCGGCGGCGTGGGCCATGATGTGCTCATTCCAGGTCGCCGTGTCCGACATGATGTTGCGGGTGGCCTCGCCGAAGGTGATGCCGCGCCGCATGTCGGCGCAAAGCTTCCACATAGCGTCCGCCCAGAAGGAGTGGACCGCCGGGATGGATGCTTGCTTGGATCGGGCTTTTTCGCCGAACCAGTCTGCATGTAAAGCGTTCCACCCGCCGTTCCTCGTCATAACCGCAGAGGATCCAAGCCCACTTCGCCGCCTCGATCCCGTCGAGGGTCAGCATGATGCCTTTGGGCGCCCACTCGTCGCTGTCCTCGGCCACGAGCTTGTCGTTGATGAGCTTGAGGATCTTGGCGCCGGCACTCGAGGAGGACCTATATAGAGGAGGCCATGGCGTTGAGGTCGCCGCCCGAGGTCCAGGTTCGCCGCGATACTATCTCGCCGATGCCGAGGGGCTTATAGTCCTTGGACCTGGTGTGTTCGTGCCACAGCCTCGCCAGGACCTCTTCGGCGCCGAGGAGCTTCTCTGCGGCAAAGGTCCGCTTGACGCCGTCGATGGTCTTCTCCTCGTAGGTCCGCACCTGCGCCGCCCATATATTGGCTGAAGGACTTAGGTGGCTTCTCCTCGCACGCCGCGGCTGTAGCCTGTGATGTCGCCGCGAGCGGGGCGGCCGCCGGCGTTGTCCCGGGAGGTGGCGCCGGCGGTGTCGCTGCGGCTGCCTGCCATTGTCGCCGTGCCTCGGTGAACAAGTGCACAAGGATGGCCTTGGAGACGCCCTCGTCGCCCGCCGCGGCCTTGTGCATGGCTCCCTGGAGGGTGACGCCGGAGAGGAACGGCTGCACCACCTTGTCGGTGAAGGCCGCCGCGTCTTCTGCAATCAGCACCAAGGCGGGCGTGGCCGAAATGCCACGCGCCGCAATGTACTCCTTGATGGGCGTGGCTGCGCCGGCCGTGGTGAGCAAGTCATCGAGCGAAGCCATCGCCGCCGCGGCCGTGGGGATAGTTGGTGCCGCTGCCGCCGCCATGGCTGGGGTGACTCGGGGCCAGTTGCTTAAGCAATCAAAAATCTACGTCGGAGAGGTCAAGCGCGAACCCGACCGCCGACAAACCTAGCAAGTGGAGCAAAACTTTTTGAAGGCAAGGCCGCCGAAATCACTCCGACTGAGAGGAATCGTCGGAAGACGTGGAGGATCCGGAGCCCGAGGACTCCACCTCCATNNGCCAACACAGGGAAGCACCTCTGGCACCGGGGGCTCTGCCGACAACCGGAAGAATTGGCGCACGCCGTAGGCCGGTTTATCTGTGGCCGCCTCGTCCACGCCGGGGAGGTGAATCACCCTCGTCTTGGCGTTCATGATGAAGCGGCCTCTTCGCCGACCGTTGCTGCAACCACCGCCGGGCGGATAGGACCCTGAACGAAGTCCACCGCCGGCAGATCGTCCAAGCTTCCGGCTGGTAGCCCCGCCTGCGGCGTCGATGCGCCCTCTTCGGTGTGGTCGCCGTCGGCAATGGCCGCCGCGGGTGCAGGCTGAGCGTCCTGTCCCGTCGTCGGCTGCGCCGGCCGTATCGCCAGGGCTTGTGCCGGTATGGCCGCCGCAGCGTAGGTCAGTGGGGCTGCCTGCGTGTAGCGTTCGACCGCCGCACTTGGATGACGGCGACGGCCACGCCGCGGGCCGCCAAAAATGTGGCCCCGGACACTCTGGCCGCGTGTCCGCCGAAGATGGGCACCCGGTCTCCGTCGGGCGTGGTCATGTGTGTTTCCACGCCGCAGGCCTCAAGCACAAGGCGGAACATCTCCAGCGACGCCGCCTTGGTCCGAGCCTCTGTTGTGGAGGTCGGGAAGAGCGCCGCTGTGGGCTCCTTCTGCCCATCGGCGTGAAGCCTGGCAAGGTGGCGTCGGGCGGCGCACGCCGGGCATAGAGGATGCACCGCCGCCGTGCAGACACAGCGTAGGGAGCGGGTTAGCTCCGCCTCGCCCCCCTGCGCCGTCTAGCGCAAAGGTATGTCCAGAGTAATGCCTCCGCCGAAGGTCGCCGAGGACAGGGTGATGTCCTGAACTCGGGCGCCGGCTATCTCAATCTCACGGAGCATAAACCAACAGGCTATGATGACCACGTCGACGGCGTGGTGCGGCCGTCGGCAATCCAAGGGTCCGTCCGCCGGGCCGAACCGCACCAGCACCGCGAGGACGCCGAGGTCGAAGGCCTGCTTGAGCTTGGCGCCGGGGATGCCCCTGATCGCCGCCCTGGCCAAACGCCTGGCTGCCTTTCTCATGGACGCCGAGACCTCATGCTGGAGCACGTGCTCGTGGTGGTAGAGGGCCGCGTCGATGTATAGAGCTGGGCCGACTTGTAGCCGCCGTCCTTGAGGCACGCCGTCAGGATCTAGATCTTCCTGTGTGTCATCGGCCACGGCTCCACGCCGTGCCTCGCCGCCAGTTTTAAGTCCACAGACCGCCGGGTGGTAGAGTCTAGCCCCCTCCAGTGCGTCGATGGCCTGCTGGGTGTTCCTTGGGTTGCCTGGATCGAGGCGCGCTGGGCCGGCCGCCGGTAAGGTAGGTCAGCCCTCCTCGGCACCAGCGCCGCGCTGCTCTGGCGGGATGGTCGGCACCGCCGGAACGGCCAGGGCCACGATGACCTGTTCGGGCACGCCGGCCTGCAGTAGTGCTGGTCCCGCGGGCCCGACCGCCGAGCGCGAGGTGACCCCCAAGGCTGCAAAGGTAGTCACGCAAGCCCCGCCGCCTGCTGCAGACACTTCGGCCAGGAACGCCGCGAAGGCGCCCGGCTGAACTTCCGAAGCCGGCGCCGCCGCCATCGAGCCAAAGTAAGGAAGGGGAGCGGCGCCGCGCTGGCTTCTGACTTCGGGCCCAAAGGGGCTGCGGGCTAGGCTCGGGCGCCGGGCAAGGGGGAGCAGACAACAGCAGGCAACCGAGAAGCACGCCGCTCAGACAAGTGCATCCACTCTTTTTGGCGCCGGGGCGCGGCTCATATCTAGGTGCAGGCGTCGGCCTTCGCCGAGCGCCGCGAAACATGCACAAAAGGACTCTGATCAAGCAAAACCACGCCGAGCGTGACCATCGGGAAGGCGTCGTCGCCGGCCAAAGCCAGTGCCGAAGAAGATCCCGCCGAGGTCCATCGCCCGGCCATGGGGCGCCTAGCGCCGCCCCCTGTCAGTGAGGCCTTCGCACTGCGAGCACTGAAGCGCCGTGTGCTCCTTGGCCCCCGAGGGCCACCGGCCGGAGGCATCTTCCCTCTCCGCCGCAGACCTCGCGGTGGGGCACAGTGCAAGGATGTGCACACCACCCGACTATGCGCCGTTCTTCGCGGCTGTGGCACAGGGTGATCCTGGCGCCGACAACGCCCGGAGGCAGTCGCCGCAAGAACGGGTAGTCCGTCTCGGGCCTGTCCTCGCCGCGGCGTGGCGTCGGTGGGCGGGGCACCGCGCCGTTGGCCTCGATCTCGCGCAGCTCCTGGAGGGATGAGTAGGCAGAGCGCCGCAGGTTGGCCGGGACCTGGCTCCTCTGCGGACGCGCCGGCCCTTTCCATTCGCCGTTGTAGTCGAAGTACTCCGGCGAGATGTCCCCGGCCTCTTCCGCCGTCCAGGGGGCCTGGCCGCCCCAGGCGGCTCCTCCCAGGGCTCCAGGAGCGGTGGCGGCGCCGCTTTTGCGGGGGCCTGGACCTGAGCGGTGGCCTCTCCCGCCGCGGCTGTCTGTCCAGAGGCCGGCGCCGCCTTCACAGGAATCTCCGTCGCCTGGGTGGCGGGCGCCGCTATTGGCGGTGCTGGCGCAGCCTTGAAAAGCAGCGCCGCCTCCGGCCCGGCTGGCTCTGCCTGTCTGATCTGGGCCAGCGCCGCCTAGAAGCCGGCGCCGCCTTGATGGGAACTGTGGCCTGCGTCGGCTGCTGTGGCGCCGCCGCTGGCACTGTGACAGACGCCGCGATGCCAAGGTCGGGGTGAATGTGGCCACCGCCGGGCTGCTCACGGCTGGGGTGCACCGTCAGCGCCGTGGGCGGGATGGTGGTCGCTGGCGGCCCCTTGTGCTTGGGCTGCGCCGTCGGCGTGGTTGCCCCCGAAGCCAGCGCCGATTCTGCCTCCATCGCCGCTATAGGCCTGTGAAGAAAGGCGGCCGCGACTCGGACGACGCCGCTTCAGAGTGGGAGGCGGCCTCCTGCACCTTGAGCGCCGCGAAGATGGCCCTTGGATCCGGAGGTGCCCGCCGCACCGAACCTGCCCGAGGCTGGCATAGATGTGAGCGTCGCGACCTCCCAAGGGTCCGCTCGCGCCGCCAGCAGCGCTTTGGCCCTGGCCTTGGTGGCGGCGCCGATGAAGACGTCCGCGGCCACCGGTGAAGGTGCCCTGGAGGTCGCCGTCGGAGTAGCCATCGGGGGCGGCGCCAATAGATCAGGAGGCGTCGCCTTGACTGGGGGTGCCACTTGGGCTCCCGCCGCAGATGGCGTCGGTGGTGTAGGCGCAATAGGTGTTGGCGCCGCGGCTTTGGGCGAGGCCACCGCCGAGGCAGCACCTCCTGCCATTCCCGTCGCCACCAGTGGTGCCCCAGAACCACATCATCGTCGGAGTCCTCGCCGACCTCAGGAATATTCTCCAAAGTCCCGGCGCCGCTCATCCCAGCCGCCGTGCCCTCGAGAAGAAGATTCGCCGCATGGGCTGCGTCGTTCAGGTCGGCAATGGCATCCGCCGACAGCTCCCCCAGCACGGGAGCCCAGCCCATGCGGCGCGCCGCGCCCAGAGCAGCAGTGAGGTCCGCCGCAATGGTGCGAGGGTCGGATGCCATGACCGCCGAAGGCACAAAGGAGGCTAAAAGAAAAGCTGAAGCGCCGAGCTTGGACCAGAGTGCTTAAGGCAGCTACGCCGTTGCGATTGTTACTTCGCACACAAGTGTGCCACTCAACAGTGCATGGCGAGTATCCGATTGAAGCCGGCAGTGCCATAGGAAACACAAGAGTGATCTCACAGCCATCTGGTGCACCATGCCCTGCTGTGGTAAAGTTTGCCACTGCATTGAACAGCTCGTCCTCAGGTTGGAGTTGGAGCTCAACTCGCATCATGCCGGACGGGTCCATGGTGGCGCTTTAAGTCAAGCATCGGACATCCCCTCTGGCCCAGAGCAAGCTTCCCAAGTATTGTTGCCTGAGCAGAAACTGTCACAACGGAAGACGGAAGAGAGATCCGTGGGACCAGGCCCGGTGGAGGCTGGGGCCGCCACATGTGGGAGAGAAGTAGCCGGGGCCAACTGGAGCGCACGATCGGCTCCAAGGATGCTCATCTGCCTGAAGTAATCATCTAAGTAATCCATATTAGCGCTGCTGAAAGACTGAACACGTGCAAGATCGACACCATGACACTCTGCCGTGTGCCAATCAAATCCTTGCCTTCTCGCAGATAAATGGGCACGAACTGTTCGGCCAACCAAAGATGTAGAAAACACCATTTCCATCCACAGGGTCACAAACCTCCAGAACCAGGCAGTGTCATGACGATGAAACTTGCAAGCGGCGCCGAACTGATCCATGCGTCCACTGACTGCAACGGTGCCTGAATCAAGCCGTTGTCTGCCCAGAACCCATCTTGAGCTTGGCTGCATAGCCCGAAACTGCAGGAGCCCCACCTCGGTCAAAGCAAGATCGAAGACTGAATTCTGGAGATGTGTCACAACTGTCACAACCGTGATGGCCACGAAAGCACAGAGTTGCCTTGCTTAGAGCCTTAGAGCCATCGACCTTTCTGCATGCATGGCTACACCTTGACGAGGCATCACCCTTTCCGCCGACACTAACATGTCCTTGTCATCGGTTGCAAGTCGTGCGAGGGCTTTCTACGAGATCCGTCCGCCTACATTATCTTTAAAACGCCATCCGGTCGCCGAAAGCAGCCGGGCTGACAGGTCTCGTCACACGTGGCCTGTGGGCAGACCTGACAGAAATTTGCTTATCTTTACAACAGCTACTGCCCATGGGACGCAGGAAGCAGGAATGGTGATGGTTCGGTATCACCGGTCGATGCACACGGATGCTAAGTCTTTGCAAACGGCCCTAGCCTGCAAATCATCTCTTGCTTACAGATGCACCTCCACGCTGAGACTTACCAGCTCGAGGAGCTGCTCGCTGGTGCAAAGGTTCAATGACTCCTGGCCGCAAGGCTGACTCTTCATCACATTGCAACAGCTTCTGCTGCTTCGCCTGAATCTACAATTCCATCGTTGTCAGTCCGATGTGCGCATTTGCAGAGATGATTCGCTATGCTATCTAGGCGCACTTGCTATTGTACTTGTGCACAGCTCAGCCCAATGGCTCTGCCGTACAGATTCGTGCACACAACGACCTTCTGGTGCAGTTCAGCCATCTTACGGTGGTGCGTGAAACGCTTGCCACAGACGGGCCGCCTCCACCTCGGGTGCCGCGCCCCGGAGCGTCATCTCCTGAACAGCGTGCAATTGGATGACCTGGCATTTACCAACGGCGATACGCAAGAGACATTGCGAGACTGCAGGCAATGCAGGCAAGTCTGGCCTGGTCGCCTGATGTGAAGGCGGATGTTGCTGTGCCAGTTCGTGTTGCGTAGTTGGCGAAGGGGCCAACAAACGCAAGACCTCGGTCGGGGCTGCCTTGCAGGCAGCTACTTGGTTCCCTGTGCTAAAACCCAAACAAGGACTGACAGATGCCAAGTCTCTCTTCGAGGTATCCGACTGCCTCGGTGTGTCCCCGGCTTAGGCTACACTACACCATAGACAAGATTCAACATGCACTGCATGTGCCAGGTCGCATGTGTCGCTGCTCGCCATTGACAGCGAACAGTTCCGTCGCAGACTTGAAAGCAGCGTCGCCGGCATATGGTGCAGCAGACAGCACTTCGTGCGCTGTGGCGTTAAAGAGGCGGCCTCGGATACAAGGCCTCCGAAGGAGCCACGCAGAAACCTGTTCGACATCAGCCTAGACACCGCAGAAGTCCAGAGACAGAAGCGGCCGAGTGCTAGCGACCAGCGCCACGGAGGCCTTGCAACATGAGCCCGCTGACCACACTATCAAGGCCGCCACTTTAAGTTTCACAGACCATAGCCGGGCCTGTGGTAATCTGTCTTTCGCATCCTGCAAGACGCAGAATCTAAGCATGGAGAGGCAGTTGCGGGACAGGGAGTACCAGAGGCTTGCAAGCTGAAGGACGGGGGAAGCTATGAAGTAGAGGCAGCATCACTCGTCCTGGAGACGGTCGCTCAGACAGCGTCGCAGTGGTGTTGAGGCCGACAAGCCGCTGGGAGGTGGGAGCACCTCAACGAGCTTCGTGAAGATGCCTCGCCATTTGTTACAGTTGCAGTTGCAGAACACTGTAGTAAGTGGGGTTGGGGGGGTGAGGGGTGAGGGGTGGTGGTGATGGGGTGTGGTGGAGAAGTGGGGTGCAGCATCGAGGATGCGGGGCTTGGCGAAGGGATGCAACAAGCACTGGACCTGAATATCCCCAACCGTGAGCCATTCCCAAGCCAGCAGGCCATTCGCCGCATCCTGCACGCTGTCCACAGCAGAAACAGCAGCTGTGCGCGGAGAGAACTTCATCTCGCAGTTGACTTCTGCAATGGCGGCCAGGGCTGCTGCCTGATTTTGATCACAATCGTTATCAGTTCCAAGCCCTGGGAAACATTCAACTTTCTGAACTGCAAGGAATCAGCCCCAATCCACAGCGCAGGAAGGATGGGAAGCACTCCATGGAGCAAACTTCGGAGAAGCTCGGCAGTGGCTAGTTACGGCTAGTTCTGGCTCGACAAGATGCACCAAGACTCCATGCCAGCAGGTTTGTTTGAGTGGGTGCATGGCTTCAAGCATGCAGTTTGCAGCGCTCGCGAGGTTTGCAGCCTGGAGCGCCAGCGACGCCCCAACAGCCAAAGCTTCCACTGCCCGGCGCAGGAAGTCGAACTGCATGAGGATCATGACCTGACCTGATCAAACTATTGATGTTGCGGAGTAAACGGGCATAGTCAGCGCGCACCGTGCTACAAAAAAACTTACAATCAAGCGCCACTTCCGCCAAGCTCAGTACGCACGAACGGCATGGCCCGGCTCGCAAAGTCAGCATCGCTGTTGTCATCGCTCCTGTCCTGCCTTCCCTTCTACCACCAATATTGTCTTTACTGGTCCGTTCGAACAGCTGAGGTCATGGCCGGCATCCATGCCGGCGAACACATCGTCCTGGCAAACACCGGCTGCATCTACAGGTTCAGTCAAATACAAACACTCACTCACTCACTCACTCCCTCACTCACTCACTCATTTTCGACAAGATGGGCGTACTCTTGGCTGGATTTAGATACATCGAAACCTAGATGTTGTTATTTGTGTGCATTGCCTAAAAGCTTGTGCATAGCAACAAGACACGGATTGGAAACTCCCGTGCCAATTCGCCACACAGTCACAGCTCACCCTCACCAATAACGAAGTCGTTCAATTCGTCGTCGGGGTCGAGCAAGCCTTGCACGTGCCAGCCTGGCCTTGGCATCCACCACCTCCATCAAAGCTTTGCGGGCTGCCGTCCTGATTGCATGTGGTCTCGGCCAGGCCTCATCTTGACTCGGTACCGTCGCTGTTCGGACAGAATATCCAGCCAGAGACTCGGCTGCTCGCCTAAAACTCTTTGAGCCGGCGAATAGCCACTCTTGTTGGTGAGCATCTGGAGACTCCATCTCACCCCGAAAATCATCGTCTCGATCTCTTCGATCGTTGACAGCTGGATGAGCTCCTTGGTACGGTAGTACACTTCTTTGAACATGCCACCTCGACGCTCGACCATGCCATTCGCAAAGGGTGCCTGTCGAGATGATAGTCCGCCCCTTGGTGAGTTGTTTTTTGCGTTTCAAAATACTGTGCCCTGGGGGCAGCTTCGCAATGGTGGAGAAATTCCAGGAATATCGTCTGGAGAAGTGCGCCGGGATTTGATCCAGCATTCTTTGTCGCCATTGTTCTGGCGATCCCTCCAAGCTCTTGAACACTGAGGGACCAGCCCATGTGTCACACAGCCCACGAAGGAAGAAACGAGGACAGAAGCACATAATGCGACTGGGATGATGGTCCTCATTGTACAACACCAAATCTTTATGCAATGCTGACTTGACCTTCTGAAACATGGCCCAGTTCAGCCTGGAGCTATGCTCCAAGGTGGTGACGTGTTGTCGCCATTGGTTTTCACAAAACTCTTGAAACATCGGGCGAAGAATGCCTGGCAGCCTGTGCCGCTTGAGCCAACAGAGCTCTGGACTTGGCCATCCAGTGACTACGGCCTGAGAAAATGTGCTGGCAGCACTGGCCGATGTAATGTTGCTGCATCCAGGAAACATGGCCTGGAAATGTTCCAGGCCTGCAGCAACATGACCCGAAGAAAAGCAACGATCCGGAAGTCCGTTCCGATACTTAGCACTCGGGCCTGGGACCGAGTCCAGTTGGAAGTCTGGAACCCACATGGTTTCTTCCCAGGATTGAAAGTTGTGAAGAAACGTCTTGATGCTCTGACGCGGAACCTGTCAGAGGCTGTTCTTGAGAACATGAGAAGAGGGAAACAGATACTTGTGTTGGAGAACGAGACTCTTCAACCGTTTCTCACACTCCGCCATAAACTGGGTTGGAGACAATGGCAGAACACCCAGAGGTCTGGATGTTCTGGGCCAGTGCGTTGCGGTGCGAAATTTGACCACACCTTTCAGCAGCCCTTGCACTGTGTTGCGATGAGGATTCTCAATGTTGCGACTAAGCTTGATGAGGGCATACACTTCCTCATCAGCCGCCTGTTTGGATCTGAGGAGCTTTCGTGTTTCAACAGCTGCTCGTGCGCGGGATCCCAGCTTGAACAGCAATCCCCACGCAAGTTCCCTGGAATCTTTGATGAAGAATCTCCGGCTGCGACGATGCATCTGTCATACAATGAGGCTCTTCGTTTTGACGAAATCTGAAAGCCAAGAGCAGTCTTCTTGATGAGACATTGCTCGTGGATAGTTCAACAGTGTTTGCTGCTGCGCGATGAGCCATGCCAGCTAGTAGTTCTCATACGACTGCAGGCACCAAAGCGAATTGAAAAACATTGTCACGCGATGCCCAATGCCGCAGGGACAATTCG